GTTGTTTTTTTAGAGTCATCCCAAAACGTCTGCACAATATCTTAAATTTGGTTCTCAGAATTCTGAATTAAACTCCAGAATTTTTTAATTTAATCATAGTCAAAATTCTGACGTTGAATTCAAATTAGTACTACTGCATTTAAGATATTGTGCAGACGTTTTGGGATGACTCTAAAAAAACAACACTTTTTTCATTAACAGTTTTCTTTTTTTAATTATAAAAGTAAGGTCAAGTTCAAGTCAGTTTTATTGTCATTCACATCACGTGACACATGAGGTGGAACGACATTATGTACTCAGGGTCCCAGTTACACCCAAAAATAGCAAAAATTTAAAGTAATAAACAATGTTAAAGAAATCATATAAATTCACTATTGTTGCACTGGGGGAGTTGAACCAGCAGCCTTCCAATCCAGGCTCACCTTCTCTAGCCTCTGCACCACCACTCCCCCTTACAGAGCTTATGGTTCCATTTTTTTTAACAGAGCACTTTGCTCTCAGACTGCAGGTTTACTTGTGGTTCCTAGAGTTTCCAAAAGCAGAATGGGAGGCAGAGCTTTCAGTTATCAGAACCAACTTCCAGTTTCTGTCCATGAGGCTAACACCTTGTCTACTTTTAAGATTAGGCTTAAGTCTTTCCTTTTTGATAAATCCAAAGAAAAAAAAAACATTAGGGTCTGCTTGGGTTTCCTGAGCTATCCTTTAGCTATGCTGCTAGGCTTAGACTGCTGGAGGTCAAAGTGACCACATTTCCTCTCTCTGCTGCTGTCTTTACTTGCTCTACCTGTTTGTTTTTGTAATTATTTCTATCTTAACATGTTTTTTATCTTTCTTCCTTTAGAAAGTTCACCTGGACGTGTCATTCTGTGTTTGTCTGTTTCTACTTCCTGTCCTCTCAAACTCAGCTGGTTGAAGCAGATGGCCGCTCATCCTGAGCCTGGTTCTGCTGGAGGTTTCTTCCTGTTATGTGGGAGTTTTTCTTTCCACTATCTCCTTTGTGCTTGCTCAGGATGGGGGACATCCTGAGCAAGGATGTCCCCCATCGTAACAACAATTCGTAACAACGAAGTGAATACTCAACACAATCTGCTGCTTCCTTAGACAGAGAACTTGTACATTTTGGCTTTTATAATGCATGTGAATGTTTTTGTTCAGTACTCTGAGTGAAATCCCAAAATGGATTAGGTACAGAGTTAAACAGCCAAGTATGACCCAGTTCAAGAAGTGGTGCAGAAATTTGATGTTCACAAGAACATGGATGTGTATGTGCACATTTTAATGTGTATGTTTGTGTTTTTGGTGTGTATGTGTTTGTATGTGTGTATGTCAGGATTTCTGTTTTTGTTCTGTTTTCCATGCACTACTTAGCTTACTTTCCAGGATGAGATCAAATTTGACATTTTCTCCACAGGGTGATGGTGCCTGGCACCGCTGTCATCAATTCCTCTGGTTATTCTCAATGGTATTTAAGGCTGAGCTAAACCACAACTCTTTGGTGGATCGTTAACATCACTCCAATCCTCTGTGTGTTCCCAGGCTTCATTGTTGGAGACTCCTTGTGAAAGATACTCTCCATAATCACAAACCTCCAAAGGAAAAGTCCTCTCAGCCATTTTACTCGCCTTGTATGAAGATAAATCATTTCACCAGCCTTAACGCAGCATTATGTTTGTGAATATGGAGCGGTATGAAAATCTTGAAAGTCACATTCACCGGCAGCTGATCTGTGCACTCGTGTGGACTGATCCATCCACAGCAGATGATTTGTGCACGTATATTTGACTATTCTGTGTGCACAGAATATTCCTGCTTGTGCAAATGAAATGTGTACGTTTGAAAAATCGTTTATGCATTTGTGAATTTTTTTAATACACATTTGTAAAACGTGTACACTTTGGGATCTTATTGTACGCATGCAAATCTAGTTGTGAGTACTTTTGATAGTAATTTATCTTCATAGATTAAAGCTGTCTCTGCAAGAAGGCTGCAGGTTTGCTTCCTGGGGTAGGGCCTTTCTGGGTGGAGTTTGCATGTTCTCCCTTCACATGTTCGTTTTCTCCAGGTACTCCGGTTTAATGAATAATGTTTACAAAAATATTTTAAAATGAAACATCACAAACTTCAGTGTGACTAAATGCATTTCTGTAGTTCATCATGTGAGATGTTTACTGTTTAGTTTGAAGGTAAAGTAGGCAGAATGTATTTCATGACTGTTGGATTAGCTCATAAAACTGCAATTTTCTAACATTTTTATAATTAAAACTCCCCAAGTTCAATTCTCCATTACCCCAACATGTTAAATAGCTTAACACTGACTAAACCTCTTACTGTTCTTTCACTTGCCCCATGTTGGAGTGGACTCTTCCACCTCTAATGATGACACACTGGCCTCTTTGAAAGACCAGCAGTTTATCAGCATTCCTCACATAACTGTGGAGCTTACGGAGCTGCAGTGTGGCATATTTGATGCTTGAAATGTTACAAAACAAGCCGAGCACACTGTCTGTGTCTCTCACACACACAAAGTTGTAGAACTTGTTGTGTATGTGATGTGTAAAGTGCTTTTGTTCAGACAACTCTGGTGTTGAATCATCTGTTTGTTGCTGTCAGCCTTTAACTTCATTTCCAAGTGTTTTATTTCTTTTGATCTAACTTGGTCTTTTATTTTTGCAAGTTTCCAGCTTGTTGGTGACATTCAGCAGATCTGTTCGGATGTTCTGCCCTCTTGTGTTCGGCCTGGCAAAGATCAACAAAGAACCGTCTGTTCTGCAGAACTCATCCGCTTTAATTATTTATGTTATGAACAATGTTTAAGAAATGCATTAAAACAAACCTAAATAAAGAGCAATCAGAATAAAACACAAAGCCTCTTACAATAGACGTACTAATTTAATAACCTTTTTATTTGCTCCAGGTTATTAAAATGTACAGATACCGTGATTTTAAAGATAAAAGAGTTTGTCCATCATTTTAAAATCAAGAGGATAACAATATAATTTATGAGGATTATTTGTATTTGGCAGTCTGAGCTAATATTCTATATAGATGTTTTCAATTCTGAGATAAAATTTGGAATGGAAAATATAAATTGTTACTTGGGTTTAAAAATATTTGAAATTTAAGAAATTATAAATTGTAATGATTTTTATTATAATGTATTTAAGATCAGGGACATAATTTACCAAGTTGGTTTTGATTTATAGATGTTACGTTGTTTATTTGTCATTTGCAGGTTAACACAAGGTCAACAATGCAATGAACTGTTCAGGATGAGAAGAACCGATTCGACTCGTTAAAAACAAAATAAAAAAAGATAATATGAAAACATGCAATAAAAGTACAAAATAAAGTATTAAAAAGTGAAAAATAAATATATTTACAATATCCAAAAGAAATATAAACAACAACATGGTAGCATATAACGGTGCAAGTAGGATGAATTAGTATAAAGTATTTCACAGGTAGTAATATTTGCTTAAATGCATGATATACAGGTATATTGCACATAACTAGCATAAACTACACAGGTTGTAACATTGAGATTAATTGAATTATGATGGTAAGGTAGTGACATACATGATACAGCCACATAGCGCAGCAGCAATAAATATATTAGGTGTCACAGATGTGGCTTAGTGCGATGTTATTGTCAGTTGTTTTGTATTATTATCAAGAGTTCAGTAATCTGAGAGTGTGTGGGCAATAACTGTCTTTGAGTATTTTCGTGCGCGATGGGAAGCTTCTGTATGATCTGCCCATAGGGCGTGAAGTTCAGCTGTCCTGGACAGACTCGGAGTAGAACCACTGCTCCTCCACATCAAAAGGAGCCAGTTGAGGTGGTTCAGGATGCTCCCTAGAGGTGCTTCGGGCACGTCCAACTGGTAGGAGACGCAGGACACGTTGGAGCGTCTGCATCTCTCGGTTGCCTGGGAACACGTTGGGAGTCCTCCCATAAGAGCTGCAAGAGGTGGCTGTGGAAAGAGATGTCTGGACCTCCCTGCTCAAGATGCTACCCCCGAGACCCGACTTCAGAACAAGAGGAAGATGATGGATGGATGGATGGATGGAAGATTTATTTTTTTGTGGCTTTTGAAACAAAAGCTGAAAATTGCCAAATTAAAATCAGTCGTTGCTTTGAACGTTTGCTTCTACAGAAAATAAAAGGCATAAATTTGGCCTAGACAGAAATGATTGCACCCCTAGAAAAGACACAAACTAGCATCATATTGAACATAATGCTGTTTAGCAAAAGCATTTGAGGAAATAAAACCTCTGCATCACAAACACAGCTGTGCACAAGCTGGCATCAACTCACTGATTAACCACAACATTATGACCACCAAATTATACCACAGTGCAAACTGTGGTATTCACAAAAAGGTGGAAGCACCATCCGTCTGCCAACCCAGCGATGATGCCCCTGATATCCACACAATGTATCATAGACGTGTCAACCAAGACACCCCAGAAACATCCTGAGTTTTTGGAACTCAGTGCAAATCTCATCCACCACCAGAGCCATGTCACCACAGAGCTTTTTTAGTATTTTTTTAATCTGTGTGACGTGAGCCGGGTTATGGATGGACCAACCTAAAAGCCTCCAGACTCAGCTTCATCCATGGAAGATCCTGGTGGGATTGAGAAGGTCCTCAATGTATTTCTTCCACTGCCCACTTCCATGGATGACATCACTGTAGTGAGCCCAACTATATGGGCAACAACTGTAGGTACTGTGGTCAAGAAAGCCAGACAAAGACTCTACTTCCTAAGAAGACTAAAGAAGTTTGGTACAAACAACAGCATCCTCACAAACTTCTATAGGTGCACCATTGAGAGCCTGCTCACAGGCTGCATCACAGGATGGTAAGCCAGGCTCAGAAAGCCAAGACCCCCACCCACAGTGGGCTTCGGTGGCTGCAATAAATTAATTTTGATTCATACTCTGGACATCATGGATGTTTGGAATTTACTTTACAAATGGCTCCAACCACATTTATTTGAAACCACGTTTTATTTTTCAAACAACATATTGGTTACAATATACAGAAAACAAGCCAGTAATCTGTTTCAGATTTTTACATAAAACTTTGTAGAGAATTAAACAGAAAAAAAGAAAGAAAGAAAGAAAGAAAGAAAGAAAGAAAGAAAGAAAGAAAGAAA